ATGGAGACTGCTGCCCCCGCGACCCGGTAACGGATAAGCGGATGAAAATAGATGCATGGATGGATGGTCTGTGTCCGAACCCAAGTGTCCAAATGTTTAGTGAGTAGAAGTTGTCCACTAAGAAGGGCACTCAATGTATCCAACTATGCACCACAAAATCCAGTGACATTCGATGTGCACTACATTTTTAAATTTCTAGTTTAGTGATTAACAAAACAGATCCAAACTTAGATTTATCAGTCTGGTTTCCTACTATGGTCTTGTGCTGCCACATTTTGTTTAGCTTTGATTGGTTTAATTTTGGCACATGATGTCAGAAAATTGTCAGGCTGCAATGTTGTGGAAAATTACAGAAGACTCGCATGTTTTGTGGATCCATTTTTTACAGCAGCAGAGTAATGCTGTTGTTCATAATTAATTGTTGCTCTTTAGGACATAACCATGTGACTGCTGCTTGTTTTTGTTTGTCGTTGTCCATTAATTAAGTTCAAGTTGAATTATCAATCATTGAGCAAAATAATTATAGTTAATCGAAGTTAACAAGGTGATCATCCATCAAATTGTTTCAGTACTTCGGTTTAATCCACTTGTATTTTTACATTATAATTGCGTCTATATAACATATTTTTTAATTTCCCTCTCAATTTTTTTAAGTGATTATCAAATCCTAAAAAAAATCATTGTACAAATAACATAGAAACAAGTAAAATAATTAATATTAAACTCTATATCATTATGTGGACTAAAGCTGTGGTGACCCCTGCTAAAGGGACAAGCTAAAAGTGATTAATCTTCAGAGTCCAACTGAAAGTCGGTTCCGTAGTGTAGTGGGGAGTCCAACTGAAAGTCGGTTCCGTAGCGTAGTGGTTAGCATGCCTGCCTAAAAAGCAGAGTCCTGGGTTTGATTTCCTGATTTAAGGTTTGATTTAAACCTTTCAAAAACTGATTTCAAATTTGCTATTGCTGGCCTATCTATCTATCTATCTATCTCATTATCTCTCTATCTCCCTCTCTCTCTCTCTCTCTCTCTCTCTCTCTGTCTATCTATCTAAAAGATTATCTTTCCTTATAAATGTTTCACAGGTGAACACCGTTAAGTTAAATAAAAATGGATTGAAAATAAAATCAACCAAAAGCAAAAGTCAAATGGTGTAGTGTATGTCTTTAAATAGATACTTTTTGGTGACCCCAAATGACTTTAGGAGCTTGTGCTCCCTGGGAAAAATGTCAGCCCTGAACCCCCCCACAGATATGCACACATACACGCTGGCCTCTTCTTTTTTCAGACAGGAAGATCCTCCTCAAAAAGATATAATTCAGCAGAAGAGAACATCCTTGAACTTGCTACATTAACATGTAATTTTGTCTATCTTTTGAATGTGTGTTGCAGTGTAAAAGTAACCATAACACAACTGTTTTTTTGCTGCTCCCTTTGGTATTGGTGGTTGGTATTGGTGCATGGTATTGGATGCATAGGGTAAATAGCAATTACGTCTGAGTATAGACTGGAGATCCAGGGGTCAAGTAGGGAGAGAAAAACACTTGTCCTGTTATATAACATTATTATGTTATTATTTCAACAGCCTGGTTTGGATCTAATTTGGTCTAATTTCTAATCACTTGACAAGCAAATTATTGAAGTTTTCTTTGCTTTGTTTTATTTTTATCTGACCTGCTGACTAGGATGTTCTTCACTGTCTGATCTACCTTTTTGATGTGATGAGTATTCTAACTGGGCGACCAACCTTATGTTTGTAAATTCAGATGGAGGGAAACAGTACTCCTGAGGTTTTTACAAGGGATACGATCGATCTGATACTTTCTCCTCCAGCATGCCGTGGGGTGCCTTTGCTGAGGTGATAGATTTCCCTTAACGGCATGTTGCACAAAATAAGTTGAACATTTGCACTTGGGTATCAGATCGGACGGGCTGTAGTTGTTTAGGTTTTTTTATTAACTGAGTATCGGATCGAGCCCTCCTAGTTTTTACAGTAAGTGTGACAGACAAACAGAATAATTAAAATTGTTACTGTGTTTAGTAAAAACACAGTAACAATTTGTGTGCAAGGATACTCTGGTTTCCTCCAGAAGTCCATACACATTATGTCTGATGATGACTTCATTTAAAAGCAACAAGTGGAAAATCAATGAGATGGTGAGTTTGAGGTCCCTCTATGTGTGCAAGGATACTCGGGTTTCCTCCAGAAGTCCATACACATTATTTGTGCACTCTTATTCAAGTAGTCGTTCATCTTTATATATGTGCCCCTTTGAATTATGGTGAACTGTCCCAAATGATAACTGGGGTGACTCCATCTATCCCTGCTATGGTCTATGGTCCTGTTTACATAACAAAGTGAACAACCTGATTGTAAAAATTATGAGATTTTAAAAATCCACATCACAATTGTTAAAACTCCTAGATGCTAATGGAAAGTATAAACTGCAGTTGGCTGACAGGTTGATCATAATAGGGAAGCGTGAGTCATTACGAAGAACAGTGGAGTGTAATTGCACAGAATGATGTTGTTGTTGATCTTGATGATCTTTCTTCATTTCAGGAGCAGCTCCGAGCGTCGTAAGGAGAAGTCACGGGACGCGGCTCGCTGCAGACGCAGCAAGGAGACTGAGGTTTTCTATGAGTTAGCTCACCAGCTACCTCTTCCCCACAGCATCAGCTCTCACCTGGACAAGGCCTCCATTATGAGGCTGACTATCAGCTTCCTGCGTACCCGCAAGCTGCTTGCCGCAAGTATGGACACACATATCTGTGCCTTATCATATAGTTTACATTTGAACTGTTCACATTTTATCACATCTTTACATTTTTAAACAACAATATTTATTT